GGTTCTGTTTCCATGGGCCTTTCTCTCAGCTGGCAAACAAAACAAAACAAAAACAAATCACTTTTAAGGTGTATGGTGACCAGGTAGCTCCATGTCTTTTGGTTTCTGCATGGATAGGAGTGTAAGGAGGGTGGGAATGGGACCTCAGGGAGTAGCTGGCACCCTCCTACTGCCTGTCACTGCACCTGGGACTCCCCAACTAAAGCTTTAATCCTCAATGACAGCAGCTATTTACAACATGGGGGAACTATTTCCATATTTCAACTGCAGGCTCAGGTGCCCCAGTGTGTACCAGCTGAATCCCAGTTTGCCTGTTGCTGAGCCCTGACCAGGTCTGTGGCGTTGGGCTGATTTTCATCTTAGCCTCATCCCTGCCTGGGCACAGAAGGAACAGCATGTGCTGCTGCCTCTGGCTCACCTGCATCCCATAACATCACGCTTTTGATCCTCAAAACTTACGCCAATCACACATTCGTATTCACAAGTCAGCAGCTCACTTTTGGCCTCCATTGGGCAAAGCACCATCACAGAGCTTTACGGGAAACTTCAAGGGATAAGGCAGCAATGCGGGCCCACAGGAACCATGGTAGATAGGCTGAGTGAGGGAGATGTTTTTCAGCAGGGGTCAGATTTAGGGAATCCAGCTGGCTTCGGTGAACCAGCGGGAGGCCGAGCTCCATGCTGTTCCTGGACATCTCTTTTGGGGCTGGATATACATTACTCTCTGTTGCCTAATTGTCCCCAGAGCAGCAAACCAAAAGGTCTTGTGGAAGTTATTGCCTTGACATTTTGACTGAGCCATTTCCCCTCCAGGTGGGTGACCCAGAGCCTGTGTGTATTGGGCAGAGACCAAAAATAACATTCACTGGTTTTAAAGTCATGTCCCCCAAAGCGTTCCCTTCTGCACATCTAAGTTCTGAAATAATACTTTTTAAAGGTTAGGCATCTCCTCCAGGAAAGGCATTTTGTTGTCTTATTTGAGCAAAGAATGCACTTAGAGCTTCCAATTGACCCTGCCAGCCTGAGCAGAAGAGAGATTTCATCTACAAGGGTCATCATGAGGGTGAAACTTGAAACACATTTTCCTTTTTTAATGGAATACATGCTCAAGAGGAAAGATTCACATGATAGAGATGATCTGAATGCTCAGCCTAAATGTGCGGTGCTTTATGGCGAGAACAAGAATGTTACCAGAACCATTTCCATGAGTGCATCGGTCAGTGTAAGCTATGCTATGCTGTGGTAACAAGTGAGCCCCCAAATATCAGTGGCTTGCAACTACAAAGATTTCTTTCTTGCTGAAGTTACTTGTCCATGGGGGATTGGCTGTACTCTGTTCTGTGTCTCCTTTACCCCGGGACCTGGGTTAAGGGAGTAGCCCCTATCAGGGATGTTGAGGTCTCATGATGAAAGGAAACCAGAGAACTCAATGGTGTCAGGCAACAGCTTTTAAAGCTTCAACCCAGAAGGGATAAGTGTCATTATTATTGTATTTCATTAGTCAGAGCAAGTCACATAGGCAAGCCAGTGGTCAGCATATGGAGAGCGCATCTTTTGATCAACAATACAATCTTCATGATGGGCAAAGGTCAGAATGAGTTCTGCCTCTATAGAGCTTTTGTTTCTAGTATTCCCAGGACCTTCTCACCCTCAAGGATGGCTTGTCTGAAACCTCTTCATTCCACATACCCCTGGCTCCGTGGATGCTCCGTCCCTGGCATGCCCTAACGTGTGTTCTGCAGAATGTTATTTTTCCAATGTCAACAGTTGTTGGGAGAGGAAAGGGTTCCATGGTTAAATAAGTTTGGGAACCACTGAGTTAAACAGGAGTCTTTACTGCAGGGTGTCAGAGCCTTTAATACCAAGTGAATTGTCCATTTTAAAGAAGGAGATAGTCCACGGGGCCACTGCCTTGTCCTTCTAGGTCAGTGTTCGTCATTTTAGCTGCACATTAGAATCAGCCGCGGAACTTCTAAGGCCATCCTGATGGCCAAGCTGCACCCCAGACCAATATCCTTACCATCTCTGTTGGCAGAACAAGCGTGGGCATTTTCTAAATGCTGTCCACATCCCCCTCATGATTCCAACGGGCAGCCAGGTTTGGGAACCACTTTTATGGGGATGATCCATATAGGAATTGGCTGTCCACAGGGTTGATCTAGCAGTTAACACTCAAGAAGAGGCTGGGGTGGATTGGTAGCAGTTTCTTGCACCTGCCGAATAGACAGGCTGCAGCCAGAATGTCCAGGACAGTCCAGATGGGCCAGTGGTCTTTAGAACTGAACCTGCAAAGAGTGAGGAAGAGGCTAATGTAGAAGCAGCCCCAGCTGTATTCCACATAGGTTCAATCTTGAGTCGTCCCTGGGTAAGACAAAGGGGAGTCTTGACTGCTGCATCACTTGATAACTCATGGGGCCAGGGTACCACCATCAAGGTCATACTCCTACATCTTGTACCTCCCCACTCACCGTATAGTAAGAAAGTAATCAGTTGCTCCATCTGTAGGTAGAGGTTGGGACTTACTCACCTCTGTGTCTCCCTGATCCAGTGCAGTGCCAGGCACATAGTAGTTACTCACTAAATGTTGCACAACAGAGTGCAAATTCATCCCTTGTCTTAAAGGAGCCCCTAATAACCTCAAGGCTTTTGCTTCCCATGTCTGTTGTACCGGGTTCAATTCAGATAAACCACAGGGAAGCAGGGTAAGCTTATAGATTCCTTTGATATCCAACATGGGACTATCAGCACAGGTTTAAGGATTAGCAGCTTTACTGTGGCTGCAGAGGAAATGGAAAATTAAGGCTTATGTTTTGGATTATGAAATGGAATTGGTTCCCTTTATGCCTCTCAGGGGAAGAGAGAAACATTTCCATCATCTCAATTTATAAAAAGCAATCTTAAGGCCAAGAAGAGATAAGTACAGTAATTCAGAAACCCTTAATTTGGGCCATTTCTTAAATCCTACCACTCTGCAATTAGTGCACATGAACTTCCCTGCAAGTGTTGCATTTCCTGAGGCTGGCTGTTCCTCTGAGAGGCAATCCATCAGGTTGAGGGGACTGTGGCCTAGGGAGCAGGACAGGGACAGGAAGGGAAAGGTGGGAGCAGAGTGTGGTAGCAGATTTGAATGACAGGCTGAGCATATGCACTTTGTCGCCTGGGCCAGTGGCTCTGACCTCAGTGAGTATCCAGATGCTGTGAAACTGTGTTGAAAACAGGACTGCCTAGACCTCCCCCCATATATAATTTTTGTTCGGTAGGTGTGGGATAGAAAGCGCCTCTGGTGGGTGAATTTGAGCAGGCAAATGACTTCATAGTGTAGGAAGCCCAGCTGCTGGATTCAAAGTCAGTTCAAGTAGTGTAGCAGAGACTGTGGGTGTCCTGGTCTAGCCCCTCGCCTGACCCCTTCAGTGCACATCTGCCCGCTCTTCATCCCTTTCCTGAGGTCTCTCTTTGGCCCTAGAGCCACTCTGCCCTTGCAAATAGCAGGCTGGAAATGCTGGCGAATTAGCACTTCCTGGGAGCAGCCCTGAACCAGTGACTGATGGGAGTGGGGTATAAATACCCCAGCTTCCTGGTCCGTTAGGTAGGATAGCTTGGAGGTGCATGCTCTACCCAGTCTCCCAGATGCCCCCAGCAGGATTGAGCTCCAGTTGCCACACAGCGGCCACTTGATAATATACCTTTCATGGGCTCCCTTGCTGTCCTTGTCTCACTTCCCACTGCCCAGCTCGTGTTTTCTGGAATCTCCTGCCCTCCTACCCTTGTCTCAGACTCTGCTTCTGGAAGGACCCAAAAGATGGGAGTCAGCGAGAGTTGTGTTGTGTGACCTTGAATACACTAACTGACACAAAATAAAACTACATATAAAGCTTGGGGATAGTAGACACAAAATTCAGCGCAGTGGTTACCTCTCTGGGGTGCAGGGAGAGGGGCTGGCAGGGACAGTCTTGGGGATGGTCTATTTTCTTATCTGGGAGGTGGGTTCAGGGATATGTATTTCATAATTCTTCATGCCTTACCCATACATTATATATTCCTCTTTGGAATGCATGGCATAGACTCCATAATAAATTATTGTAAAATTATCTGGGGACCAGATAAACCCTACTTGCTGGCTGCACCTAGGCCATCTGTTTCTGACACCTCCCTTACAGATGAGAAAACTTGGACTCTGAGGGCTTTCAGCCACGATATATTGCTTCGTTTTACGTTTTTACAACTGGGAAATTTCACATCAAAATAGAAATGTTCAACTCCCTTGAAAGACAATCGGAAGATCGGACAAGGCTGGACCCATGTTTCTACAGGGTAATAGCTGCCAGAGCTGCATCGCTGAGGACGTGGTAGGCAGGGCAGAGTGCCTGCTGCTCCATCCCCAGAGCAGCATCCGTCCTTCCCATAACCTTTCTGTCCTCCCCTATAGACGTCTGAGCCAAGCTCACACATGGGAGAATCTCTCCAATGGTTCACCCATGCAATGCCCTCAGTGGAGAGCCCAGCACAGACCCAGTGCTAAATAAAGCCAGTCCTTATCATTGTGGTTAGAGAAGATAACTCCAACACCCGAGGGGGCAGCCGGGCTTAGTGTCCTTGTCCTGAGCCTGCTGAGGTGCTATGATGAGGCCAAGGTCACCGTCTGAACAGCAGTGCAATCAGGACTCCACCCAGTCCCTGGGGCGTGTCTGCAGGTCCATTGGGCCTCAACTTCAGGGAGCAGGGGCCAGGCCGAGCTCCCCAAGGCCTTGGGTGCCCCAGCTCAGGCCAGCTGCTCTGACACAGCCCACACTTTGTGGCCAGAGGCGAGGCAGGGCAGTGGGGGAGACCTGCCAGACAGGTGGCATCTCAGGCCTCCCAGATGAGTGGGACAAAGGGATGTGCTGGAATTCCGCCTCCCAGAGCAGCTCCTCCCCTGGCCAGGGAACGGAGGTGGACTTTGGGGCCTGAGAATCGTTGCCAGCGGATGGAGGCTTTGTTTGCCTCACTGAGTCCCCAGACCAGGGGCCGGCCGGAGAGAGGGCTCTTTCCTGAGAGGCTGGACTTTCCCACAGGAACAAAGTGGGGCTTGTTAGCTGGGCATGAATCTTGGCGTGGGGCGGCCGGGGCCAGGCTCAGCGCTGCCAGGCGGCGGCTCCGCGATATCAGGCAAATTCCGCCTTCCCCACAGCTGGGGCTGACAGCAGGAAGCCCCAGGGAGGCTCCGGACAAAGGCAGAAAAATGGGCCACGTTTATTCATTCACTGACCAGCCCGGGCCTGGCTGGCCCAGGGGCCCTGTCTCCATGGCTACGGGCAGCCTTCAGTGCTCCTGGTTGGCTCCTCTGTGACCACAGCCCCTCCACGGCCACACACCCCAACACACAGAGACACAGCATCATGAAGGCAGAGGCTGCCTCGGGACGGCTCTACCCCGGGGAGTGTGGGGCCATCTGAGCCAAACAGAATCGAGGGCTTGGACACAACCCAGGGTGTGAGTTGAGCTCTGAATGTCAAGACCAGTCCTGGGTGAGTGAGGCAAAGGCAACAGGTTCAAATCCACACACCAGCTAAGCACCTACTGTGTGCAGCGCAGGAGTGTGTCTGTCAAGCCAACTCGGTTTGTTCTCACTCGTCCGGTTCGAAAATAGAGGCTGGGGAGCCCAGTGAGGGAGGCACACCCTTTGCCTTGGGAAGGTGTCAGGCAGGAACTGTCATTGGCATTGAGTCTTGAAGGATGCATAGGAGTTTGCCAAGCAGGGAGGCAAAGGGCATTCCAGGCAGAAGGAACGGCTTGAGCACAGGCCCCGAGGCCTGCGATTAATGTGTAGAGTGATTAGGGTAACTGAAAGGCTCTTTGAACTGGAGTGGAGGGAAGACGATGCAGCTGAAAATGAGGCAGTTGTGGGGGCGGGACAACCGTGCAGTGTGACTCAGAGAACCGGGGCCGTCTGCTCCCGTCACTGTCCTGCTAGAGAAGGCCCCCAGTAATTCCATGAGTTGTGAATTTCAGGGAGGACAGAGGTTAACTAGTATAGCTAATACTTTGCCGTTTGCAGAGGCCTTTCATATATTCACATGATCTTATTTAGACCTATGGCCACCCAGCTGGGAGGGAGCTGACAGATGAGGAAACTGAGGCCCAGAGTGGTGCCGGAGGTCTCCAAGCCAGGAAGTGGCCCGTGGGGACTGGAATGCAGGGCCCTGAGCCTGACAGTACTCTCTGGGAAGGGGCTGGAGCCCCGAAGGATAAGCAAAATGATCATGATGATCTTTGTCCCTTGCTCGAAAGTTCTAGAACTGCTACAAAGGAGCAGCCACGCATGTCCTCCCTCCCAGACCACTCCAAGCTGCTTCTAGAGGGACTGGAGATCCCCCAGCAGAAACAGGTCTAAATCCCGAGCAACTTAGAATCTGGGATATGGTGAATGGCTCAGAGGCTGGGAGCAGGCACAAGAGTGGCTCTCAGTCTGATGGCCCAGACCACACTTCCTGTCTTTCATGGGCCCACTCTGCTTCTTTGGCCCTGGGTCTCCCAGACGGAGCCGATGGGCTGGGCCTGCAAGGGTGACCTTGGGACCCAAAGGCTGGTGGGAGGGGGATGCCATCAGACACTGCTATGACATAATGTCATTTAGTCTTCACAACAACCTCTGTTTTGCAGGTGAGGAAACTGAAGCTCTGAGAGCAGTAGCTCCCCTAAGCCACACAGCTGGAGAGCGCTGAGCCAACGGCAGAGCTGGGGCTTTTTGAAGGCGCACAGAGGAAAGGTTTGCTCTCCTTGCCGAGTTTCCTCATGCTCATTTCCACCCCCAGCCCTCAGGTGTGTCTGACCTCTGCCCACTGAAAGGCGCCTTCCCTCACTCTGCTGCTGGGCTCGGTTGTCTGCCGTCTTTCTGCTGTCTCTGACTTCTGCCAACTTGACCTTGGCTTCTGGTTCCTTCTGCCTTTCAGAGCGTGACATTGTTGATCTTCATCCTGAAGTGTCGCCTGAGTCTCCTTCACCTGGTTATGCTACCCATAAAATAAAATAAAGGAAGAAAAAGTTAAAAAAAAAAAAAAGATAATAAACAAAACCAAGAAAAAGGAAGAAGTGGGCTGTGGGATTAGCACCAAAGCCTCCTGGGTGCAGACCTGCCCTTTGGCCTCTTCTCAGGGTGCTTTTGGCTTTGGGTAAAGAAGAAATGATAATAATGATACCTAAAAACCATTTAGGACAGAAATGGCCAACATAGCATAGCAGGAGCGCCCTCCAATCTGGCACCTGAGGCAGGCATAACTAATCGATCACAGCACTCTCTCTGGCTCAGCTTGGCCTCGGCTTCAGCATTGTTCTCAACACAGGGATCAGGCAGCCACCACCAGGCAGAGTTGACACCCAAGATAACCTGCACTTGTCACCTTGCCTGTGAGTCTGTGCTCTCCATTCGAGCTTCACTTTTGCCCCATTTGTCCAGGCAGGTGTAATTATCTTCATTTTACAGGTGAAGAGACTGAAGCCCAGAGTGATATTTTCTGCAACACACAGCTACTTCATGACAGAGCTAAGGATGGAACTGAGGCCTCTCTCTCTGTCCCTGCTCAGGACAGGTTTAAAAGGCCCCATGCAATCAAGGAGGTAGCATTTGAATAGATGTATTCTTCCTCCTTTTTTGTTTTCCAGTCCCATTTTCCACTGCTTTGGTCAGGGAGTGAGTCCTCTGATGTCATCCGAGGATATGAGGCATCGCTAAATCTGGCCATCCCCTGAAGCACCCAGCCTCACCGACTTCCTGAAGCGTGGATGAACGCTGCTGCCACAAATGTGCTGTGACAGCCACTGACAAGGAGAGCGAGTGATGTTTGTGCCACCCTGCTGAGCACGAGGGAGCTGCTCGGGGAAGCCAGGGGCTGGGGCATCTCAATAGCACTGAGGGCAGCCTCGGGGGGATTCACAGCACACCCACCCCCAGATCACTGCTGATTCTGGGGGATAGATGACAAAGCTTTCTGACCTTGCACTTCCCTTTGGCTGCCAAACTGAATGAAGCCTGCTTCTTAGACCCAAGCCCCTGCTGAGTGTCTCACTCTCTCTTCTGGCCATCCCTGTCCCCAAACCCAGAACCCTCCTCTGTACCTCCACACGCAGTGGGTGCCAACTGTCTCCCACCTACCTGCCTGGGTCTCTGCCCCTCAGCTGCTCACAAGTGGCTGTGTTCTTCCACTCACCTGCTGGGACACCCACTGGCTCACCAGCCCCCATCCTCTCCACACCCGGTCTCACCTGCCAGGCTTGCCCTCTTCCCCGTCACCTGCAGGAAGGTCCTTTCCCAGACACACCTGCCCTACTCCGACTGGTTGGCATGGTGAGGCCCTCACTCCCTTCTCTCCAGGGTCGCATGTGCTCTCCTGGCACAAATTCACCCAGACATTTCTTGATCTAGCTCTGACCCAGAAAGTGTTACCTTTGCAATGGCAAATACCTGTATTAACTGCCGTGCAAGTGACACATACTTATCATATGCTCCCCTGTTCCAGGCACCGATGGCTGTCTTTTTTATTTTGTCACAGGTTCCAGTGAGTGAGTCTGACTTATAATTGTACAGACTTAGCTCACATTCTCCTTCCTCCACCTTGACAATCGTGCTAATGACAAAGTTGTCATTTACTGAGCACTTGCCATGTACCAATCACTGTGCCAGGAGATTGTGCATGGACTCACAAAATCTTTGCAATATTCTGGAAGGAGAGGCAAGTATGTTCCTCTATTTTGTAGATGAGAAAACTGGGCTCAGAAAATGAAGCCATTTTGCCCCAGGTGACCCAACCAGCAAGTGGCAGAGCTATGTTTAAAAGTCAGGATTGTCTATTCCAGAGACCCTGTGCTGCCCACCATGGCACACTGCCTCTCCAGTCAAAGAAAGGTAGCTTAAAGATATCTGCCTTCCAAAATGCCTGGACATTTGTTAGAATATGAAAGAAGATAATATATGGTCCTGTCCTTGAAGAATTGATACTCTATTTGGGGAAACAAAGCAACTCACATTGCCAGCCAATATTTATTTAAATTTCATCTTAGAAAAATAGCAAAAGAGATTTTATTTAACCTGTCAACAGTGATTATCTGATTATGTCTGCTTGAGTATTCTGTAGGATAGACAGGTAAGGCAGTCATGGACTCAGTGGGAAAAAGTTCAGTCATCCATTACTAATGTCTGTTTGGGGCACAGCTATAGGTAGTGGAAGTAGATGTGTCACCAATTTAATTTCTTTGCTTCTATATAGTAGAAAACATGACCATTTCTAATAAATTCCTAACTATATAAAGCAGACAAGAGAGGAAAGAGAAAGATACCGGTATGATTGGGAGAGGCTGCCTGAGGAAGGTAAGATAGGATCTGTTTGGGGTCACTGTAGCCCTGGGGCATGAGGCATCATCAAGGCCAGATTGAATTTTCTAAGGTATGATAAAAAGTTTGGTTCTTCCTTGTGCCTTGGTTCCTCTTCTCTAAAATGGCTAATTCTGTCCAACTAAGATCTACAAGGCCCCTTCTGATTCCAAGGTTTCTAAATAAAGATATCTAATAAGGACGGAACACTTCACAGCTCTCAACCTCCTCTCAGACCCATCAGCTCATTCATATATCATAACAAGCCCATGATGCAGCCATTTTAGAGATGAAAACCTGAGGTCCAGAGAGCTGACACCCATGTTAGCAGAAGTTAGTGGAACCCAGTTCTCTTAACTCTAACCATTCTCTAATCCAAAAGTATATTTACAAATTTTCAAATAATTAGGAAAAGTTAGTAATATTTAGAAGCTCCTCAGGTAATTATAGTTTTCAGCCAGGGTTGAGAATGTTGCTAAAAAGTAAGTTTTATGGCGGATTTCAGAGAAGGAAACAGAGGTTCAGAGTGGTTAAGCAACTTGTCCAAAGTCACACAGCCAGAACATAGTGGAGTGGGAATTCCACTGAAGCAGGCTGACTGCGTAACCCATGTGTCTATTGTGCCCCAGGCACTGTCACATATTATTTCATTTAATTCTCTCAACAACGTTATTTATTTTTAACTCTGAAAACTAATCCAGAAAAGTTAAATAACCAGCCCAAAACTGCAGAACTAATAAAAGGCAGCTAACAATGTTTTCTATCTTGATTCTATTTGAGTGGACAAGTGTGCGCATTTGTCAATGGTCACTTGATGGGTCACTTAAGATCTGTACATCACACTATATGTTGATTTTACCTTTAAAAGGCACAAATAAACTGCACTCTGGGTAACAACATCAAGCAGAGATATTCTGATGTCTCCCTCTTATTTGGAAATGCATTTAAAAGTAGAGTGAATGGATAAGGAGATAAATAAGTGGGCAGTATGTAATAAAGATGGGGGGTTTATGGGGTTCACTACGTGGGTGCTATTCTTTCAACTTTTCTGCAGGTTTGAACATTTTACTTTATAACATGTTGCATGGGGGACAGCAGCCCAAACATTCCATGAGACTGAGTTCAGTGATGACAGAGATCTCTGCCTGTTTTGTGACTGAGTCTCCAGCGCCAGGAATAGTGCCTGGCATGAAGCAGGTGCACAGTAAATATTTGCTGAATAGAAAATGACGGGACGGTGTTTAGCCTACGGCTTTAACCCTTAAACTAAACATCTTGGAGAGAGGATTGGATGATATATGTGAACAAGGGCGGTGGGAGGAGGGACACTGGGCAGAGTAGGGCGAGTGGGCACAGTAGGGCACAGAGCTCTGGTGGCTTTGCAAGCATGAACTCCGCAGATTCTTACTTCTGGAAGCTGTAGTGAGATCCTCATCTCCAGGCTTAGCTGCAGTCAGAGCTGGGCTTTATATGGGCGTGTGCTGCCCTCATGTGGCCAAGCCGAAGAATATTGCACTGCTGTTGGAAGGGCCTCTTTTCCCCTGATCCCCGATGGGCATTTAGTTACTCAGATGCTTGGAAGCAAAGGTTGGGGCCAGAGGAATTGTGTCTCGGGGGCCTGGGGCTTCATGCCCCTCTCTTAAATAGGAGATGTTGGTCATGTTTAAAACTTCCTCTGGGCAGGGTGGCACATCTCTAGTCCCAGCTGCTCGGGAGGCTGAGGTGGGAGGATGGCTTGAGCCCAGGAGGTCAAAGCTGCAGTGAGCTATGATTGTGCTGCTGTACTCCAACCTGAGCAACAGAGTGAGACCCTGTCTCTAAAAAGAAAAAAAGTTTCTCATGCTTCCTATTAGCTAATTTTCTCCCAATAGGAGTGTGGGTTTCCCAGAGCTCATAACCATCCTGAGATTTGAGAGAAGTAGCCGCCATGTTTCAGTACCCACTGCTGTTGCTATTCCTCCATGGGCTGTTTTATTTGGGCATCCCACTGACTCTGCCAATGACCATACATGAGACCACGCAAGATCTCATTTGCAGGCCGGAAAGCAGGGGCTCGGAGAGATCAAGTCACACGTAGCATGTTGGGGACAGGGAAACTGCCTCTGGGAAGTCTAGAGTGTAACAAAGGAGATGGTAGCTGCTCTCTGTGGGCTTTTGAGAACTCCCAAATTCTGGCTGAGAAAAGCTGGCAAGGAGCCAGGCAAGTTTGAAAAAGCCCCAGTACTCACGGTACACAACCTGAGCCCTTCAGCAATCACAGAGGCAAGTTGGAGCTGTCATCCATCCCTTCCATCCCTGCCAAACCCAGCTGTGTGACCTGGGGAAAGTTACTCAGCCTCTCTGAGCCCTACCTCAATGTGTCAAATATGGATCATAAAGCCCTCACCTTTTAGGATTGCCATGTATATAAACGATACAGTGCACACCACACATGCTCAGGAATTACTCCTTTTTGACCACAAGGCAGACATTGTATCTTTTGTGTTCACTCCTGTGACATGTTTGTATGGGCCAGTTCTCAAAGATGAGCACGGTAAGAGTTAAGAGTGAAGTCTTTGGAATCAGATACCTGGATCCAAATCCTGGCACTGCCTCTTCAGTCTAGGTGACCTTGAACAATGTATCAATGTAGTGAAGGTTGTGCTGATGAATACAGAGCCTGGCATGGTGCCTGAC